TGCCAGGGGGGGAAAAAAAAAAAAATCAAATCAGAAAACACTGCCAAAAAAAAAATAAAACCGGGTCTATCCTGCACTCAGACAGAGCCCAGCGAGGCACCAGCAGCAAACAGGAAGGTTCTAAAGTCCATCTCGGAGATAAATCAACCCCCACCGGCGGGGCCAGAGGTCTCCCAGCAGCTGAATCATTTTTTAATTTTTTTTTTTTTTCCTCCTTCCACCAGCAATAATTTTCTCCTCTCTCGACCTTCAGGCGGTCGCAGCACCGAGCTGCTCCCCAGCGGAGTCCGAACTCCCAAATTAAACCTTGCAAAAAGTAAAAAAAAATCTAAAATAAAAACGAAGGTTGGGCTGCCTGCACCAAACCGCGCTCACCTGTGTCGTTCTCCAGCTCGAACCGCAGATTTTCTGCAGGAAAAAAAAAGAACAAAAATAAATTAAACTGAGATGCTTTTGTGCACAGGAAGGTCAGGGGATGGCCATGGCAGGGGTCTGTGGGAAGTGAGCTGGGTTTAAGCAAGCTGGGGGTTAGTTTTTTGATGATCAGATGCTCAAATTAATAAAGAATTCTGCTGACAAGGCCAGGAGAGAGACCAGAGCACAGCTCAAACCAAATCGCCCTCTTTGAGCTGGGCCCAACCCCACCTGCCCCTCTTTGAGCTGGGCTCAATGCACCCCAAACCATTTAAAGCTGGATTCAACCCCATCTCCCCCCCTTTTAAGCTGGGCTCAACCCCACCTCCTCCTCTTTTAAGCTGGGCTCAACCCCACCTCCTCCTCTTTTAAGCTGGACTCAACCCCACCTCCTCCTCTTTTTAAGCCAGATTCAACACCCCCCCTTCTTAAGCCAGACTCAGAGGGTTTAGGAAGCCCCAACTTTTACAGAAACCCTTTTTTTCAGCACTCACCCTTGAACTCCAGCAAGACTTCTTTCAGCACTGCGCTCTTCTGGGAAAAGCTCTTGAGTTTCTTCTCCAGCTCAGTAAAACCGGCCTCCGGTTTGCAAAACATCCAGCTCTCAAAGCTGGGGAAGGAGAAGAAAAAGCATTAGGTTTCCTCTGGGGGGCAAAAAAAAAAAAATTAAATCTCTTAATTTGAGGCAGGGAAGAAACATGCCCTGGTGGTAAGGTCTGGTGTTGGGTTATTGTCAGTGCTTTAGGCCACACCTGAGGACTGAGTCTAGTTTTGGGGGGGGTCTCTGCCCCTCAAATGGGGCTCAGCCCCGAGAAGCCTGATCTAAATTTTGATACTGGTCCCTCAGCAGCCAAATTATTGCATGGTTTCCTCTAGAAGGATCCTCAAACCCTGCAAAACCCCTACCACCACCGCAAAAATCCCCTCGTAAAGGTTTGGGGTTTGCCTCAAATCTAACAGCCGGGGGTGTGGGGGGGTGAAAGCCAGACACCAGTTCTGCCTCCCAGTTAACCCAGTAAGGGCTGAGGTTCACTCACCTGCTTCCAGCTGGGGCAACACCCTGGGGAGAGAGTGGAGAGAAAAAAAATTAAAAATAAAGAAGCTGATCAGTAAAAGTCTCTTCCACCGAAAAAAAAAAAACGATTAAAAATAAAAGATGATCAGGAAAAGTCTCTCTTTCACCTCAGCATCTCCCAAAATCCTCCCCAAAAGTGGCCCCACAGCTGAGGGGATCAGCTCTGAGCAGCTGCTGCCAAAGCAGAGCACAGTTGGGACTGAGAAATGGCAAAATTAAGTTGATAATTACAGGGTTTTCCTTCCCTTTTGCTTTAGTAGAAAACATGGGTTTTTTTGACAGAAGTTTAAAAAAAAAAATCACGATTGCCCTCAAGTTGCCAAAACCAGGAGGATTCAGCAACACGAAAGCGTTTGGGACTTTGGGACATTTCTTAGCCCTCGGCATCCAAAGGCTTCACTACCAATTTTATCCCCCCAAATTTGTATGAAAAATGTGGGTTCCCACCCAAAAAAACCCCAAAATACCAAACCATCAGCAAGTCAAACCCCCTGACTCAGTAGGGTCAGGTTAACAGACACGAGCTGCTCCCAGCAGAGCACCCTGGGGTCCCTAGAAACAGACTTTTGGCCCCCAGGGGTCACCCAGAAACAGATTTTGGGTCACCCGAAACAGATTTTGGCCCCCCAGGGGTCCCCAGAAACAGATTTTTGTCCCCAGGGGTCCCCGGCCCTGAGCTCCCCGGGGTTTTACACCCTGCTATATCATAACCCCCCGTGCTAGTGGCCCGTGTCCCAGCAGTCTCACCTGCCCAGACTGGTTTCCTGGGCCATTTTCTCCTCCTTGCTCACCCAGCAGCTTATCGAGCTGGGCAATCTCCTCGGAGAGCCTGGAGACACTCTCATCTCTCCGCTTAATGATGTCTCTGTCTAATTCCTCCAGACGGGACAGCAGGAGCTGTTCCTTCTCCTCCAGGAAGCCTCGGAGCTCCTTGCACTCGGCCACAATCTTCTGCCTCTCCACTTCTGTTTGTTTCTGGAAAAAAAAAAAAAAAAAA